CCGATATTCTTCTTTGTTCTACTGTTTCTGCCCTTTATCTCGTCTTTTCGATCTATATTTCTTCTCCTCGGTCTCTTATATTCTTCTATGTTCTATTGTTTAAGTGCTTAATCTAATACCTACGGGCTGTACTACATCAGGTTCACTTGGGTATAATCATATATATGGTACAATCAGTTTTACAAGGATATCTTTAACCGACATGGTAATAAGTATTTTGAAAATGAAGTCTAGTTGTGCATGAAATATAAATGTGCTAGCCCAAGGTAATTGAACATAGTTTGAGTGACACGTTTTTTCCTGTACAAGAATCCATTTGTAATCTAGTTTCAAGGAGGCAATTGAACTTTAAGCCAAATCCAGCTGCTTGAAATGAAGCTTTCTTGTTAATTGTATATTTCTATCTCTCCCTAGTGAGTTAAACCTTTTCCCAATAAGTGTTAGTTGTGTGCCCTACTTGCTACTATTTTTTTTTTTTTAAGGAATTCTAATAGCACGTATGGTTGTTTATCAAGTGAAGCCTCATTTCTCCGTTGGATTTTGATTTTCAAATTCTAATTTCCATAAAGGAAGGAATTATATGTTAGGAATGTGATGGGCGGATGATATTTTGTGAGACTTATATTCTCACTTCTCCTAGATATTTTTTATGAATGTAAAATCTGCTCTCCAAAATATCTAGGAGAAGTCAAGTGAGAAGTCCCACGAAATAGGATGGGCTCATCACATTTCCAACATGGTTTTAGTGAAATTTATGGCCAGACCACTGTCAAACAAGTTAGATTGTTAACTAAGTTCGGTTAAGTGAATCAACATTGCCAAAATTACAACTGCATTTCAACAGACTCTTTGGAATTGCACAGATATCTCTACTTTCTTGTTGTAGATCTTTTGGTAGTCTGCCTACCAATATCACTTTGTTTTTCTTTTCTTTTTAATAGTTTCATTCCAAAAATAAAACCTTTGTAGTATTCTTCCAATTTTTTCTCCATTTTCTATCTCAAGTTACTTTGTTCA